AAAAGCTTTCACAACAATTTCACGCATGTCTCGCGGTACGCCGCTACGTAACAATGTCCATTGCCGAACTTCACAGACCCTCTAAATGGTTAAGGTTTAATTTGTCGTAAGGTTTATCTTCAATTATTTTATCGAATGAAAGTAAACGCCCTGTAGTGGTGACGTAAGAGAATACACTACCCTTTATCATTCCATGGGTGTCACAAGAGGCGCCGGAGGGAAACTGAGACATGATAGTAGCAGCAGCATCTTCCTGATGGCAACCGAAAATAATGGGTGCGTTTGGCAGAAAAAAGCGCTAGCAAACGCTTGTAAGCAAAATGGCGATCGTAAGCGGTAAGCGCTGTCAAATCGTAAGTAGCTATTTTCCTCCAGGACACGATGTTAGAATGAACCGGGGAACCTAACCTAATTTAAATATATGTTTGTAAAGTATTCATATTAAAAACTTACCAATCATGAATTTTTAATAACATGTATATGTTTATTCATGTCATTATATTACTTAAAACTAATATTGCACAAAACAACTTATAAACTCTACTTCAAAACAAACAAAATAAATAAGCAAAATGGCGGATTGTGTCAGCGCTACTGAAGTAGCAATCGTGTCCTGGCCGAAAACTATTTCAGCGCTTGTAAACGCTTGCTAGCGCTTTTTTCTGCCAAACGCACCCAATAATTCTTTATTACTGCGGCCGCTAACCCGCCGGTCAGTCGTTGCTACTATGGCAAATGTCCTCACTGAGGGATGTATAATCCCACCTCTTACCCCTCAACTGCATGAAATAGTTTGTGAAGGAGATACATGTTCAGCAGTGGACTTTGATAAGCCGTAATGATGACGTCATCAACCTGTATAAAATATCGTCATCATTGACGATGGTAACGAGCTAATACTTCTTATAATGGGGAAGATCCAACTGTTATTGATTTTATCTCCTCAATACCCTATATATTCGCAATAAAACAGACTTGCAAATATGGTTTGCTAACCCTACCTGCATAGTTCATATAAAAGCTTCGTAATCCAATAGCTGACTTATGACACTTACGGTAAGAAAGGGGATGATAAATGCCCTTACTTTGTGAGTAATAACCGTATAATGAAACACTTTATCACACTAGCACACGTATCGTAGAAAAAAATATCAGAAACACCAATTGTTCAGTCACAGTGGCGTATAATAAAGGGAATTAAATTATCGATGTTATTAAGTAATTTCAATACTTTTCAGTAAAACACAAAAGATAAAAATGACATGTGTTATTTTGATTTTTTAACTTTTGATACAGTTACAGGCACATTTCTTCCTGTAAGCTAACGACAGAAAACAATTAGTTTATAGCAAAATATTTCTATATTTTTGTCCGCGGTTTAAGTTGGTAAACAAAATGCCACCAAAAACATACTCATGTAAAATGTTGCCAAAACTAGACCATATGGCTCGCATTTTCAATAAGCTATCAGATCTCATGTAGAGCCAAGTTTATAACTCTACACATCCTACTTCCACAAGCCCTAACTTCACAAACTCCCTTAGTCAAATTATGGGGCATTGGAATCCCTGTAGGACTTACACCATAATAATTTCCCATCTCCATAGAAGTTTTCTTTTGTAAATACTTGTCACCACATTTTTGTTTTAACGAAGTATTTACGTTTAATAATATTCATATATTTATTTATAAAATTATTTAATAATTTTCGAATAATATGTATAATAATGTAGTAATATTTTGAAACCTGACGAAAGTTTTATGGAACTTTAAAAAAACTTGAAACACGTATTTTTTATTTGCAATAAGAATTTACAGGTCTAGCATGAAATTAACTTTGTATGGGAAAACCTATATAAAAACTTCCATCCCGTAATTTACAAGGTTTTTTACTGAAAATCCTGAAATATGTATTTTATTATTATTATTTATAATAAGGAACCTATATTTTTATTAAAACAATAATAAAATAATAAATGAATTAATTCCCACAGCGCAGAAAACGCATACTTCACCAGTGCGCTACCCAGCCATCAATTTACTGTCGAGTATCCATAATTCCGTTTAATTAAAAAGAGGGAAACACTAATTAGAATTACAAACTCTCCTTTACTGCCAGTACTTACTCAGATATTAAGTACGTTATAATTACGTACTCAACGTCAGGTACTCTATATATTCTTGTGTTGGGGGGCTGACCTACTGCCGCGGGGGAGGGGATGTATGGGGGTTCGCTCTCACCAAGGGATCTATCGTTTTGTGGGGGGGTCTCTTCCTGGCCGATTCGGCTACCACATAATGTGGCTCTACCAGAAAAATATGTTGCATCAAATACACGACGACGATACAAATTAGAACAATTACTTTGAAGCTAATAATTGTAAGCTTATCATACATATATACCTAGCATCACACCTGTAATACCAGTGGGGATAAGTCCAAAGTGGTTCAAGCTCAGACCAATAAAATTATTGGCCTAAGCTTGAACCATAAAATATTATAATACATACATATTAGTACGGGGGAGTGGGCGGAGCCCGTGTAGCCTCTAAAATGTCACTAACATGTTAATTCACACGTATAAATGTCAACACGTGATGTTTTTTGACGTTACAATCGTTTCCAAATTTCGCATGTAAATTATTTAGAAAATGCCGAATTGCACACTATTTACAAATAAATATGTATTAAATTTTAAACGACTTTTTTTAATGATGATCTTGAACATTATTATATTATATCATCATAGTCAAACTCTAAAATGTGTAAATTTACTCAGTCTGTCAACACAGAGAATCGGGTTTGTAGTAGTGATGATACGACGTAATTGCTTGTAAGTGTGCTCCCGATCATCATACAAAATAAGGTTGACAGCTATTCTATTGTGTATTATAAGTATTCTATGGCTTGAACCACCTTAAGCTACTACACTATCACAAACTCAATATCCTATTAGTCACCTTTCAAAAACTACTACGTACTACGTACTTAAAAAAATATTTTTAATACATATAAAGAATGGGAAATATACTTACAATAAAAATTCTACTTAAATTCACTTTAAGCGATGCAGTAAAACATCAATTTTTGAAGTCCACAACTGGATCTAGTCTTACTTAGGAATACGTCAAGTGGTATGCATGCATGACCTCCTAATACTATCTATCTCGTTTATAAACTCAGATGGTTTCGTTCGTTAATCCATAAACTTCTGTGATAAGTGAAATAATAATAGTGTAAATAATACTACAAGGTAAAACTCTTTTTGTTTCTAGGAGTTTATCTAGGTAAGTACCACATTTTTAACCATTTCTGTTCAAACAACGGAGCTCGCACTACTGTGTTCCGGGATGAAGGGTATAAATAATACTAACAATATAAAACTATTTTTGTTTCTTCTTAAAAACTCTAGGTTTGTCTAGGTAAGTACCAAATTTTTAACTATTTCTATTCAAACAGCGGATTTCACACTACTTTTTTCCGAGCTGAAGGGTATAAATAGGGTACTACAAGGTAAAAAAACTCTTTTTGTAAGTACTACATTTTTAACTATTTCTGTACAAACAGCGGAGCTCGCACTACTGTGTTCCGAGGTGAAGCTATAGAAAGCAAGTATATTCTGAGCTGAAGAGAATTACAGACTGTAAGGCGTTCCATCTTTGTACCCAGAGGTGATAACTAGGTAGTCTTTTCATTTGAAATTGGCTTCTGTTGTCCATGGGTGTCATGAGTGAACTGTAAGTTTTTTCATCAATGTTTGTATAATAAATTGAAATACTAAGGACACCTGCTACTATTAGCTTGATTTTCCTTTGGGAAAATAATTGCTGCTTGTTCTTGGCTGAGTAGAAGCAGTTGTTTACAGAATTTTATTGACTACTTTACACAATAGTTAATTAAAACAAGATAAAAAGAAAAACGTTAAAGCTGCTACTGTATCTGCAGCGTTCATGAGTCATCTCGACCAGGGTGGGGTAGTTTCTCACAGAAAACCAAAAAACAACACAGTGTCCGTTGTTTCGTAATTAATAATTCACTTGAATACTAGTTTGTTGTGCTAAGACATAGTCTATCAAATAATTTAAGTTCCGACTCTGTAGCTGTGTTCAGAAAACAATTTGAAATTTTTATGCGTTACCCGCTGTTGAAATTTAATATCCCATTATCCCAGAGCTGTTGACTTCTTTTGATTTCGGAATAATACTGTTATTATTTAATTCAGATATACATCGAAAAACAGTTTTCTGCTTAAAAGTAATTGAGAAAACGTACTAACTTAGATATAGCTAAAATATTTTCTTTTTAAACATTAAATTTTTCATGATGGGTAAGATAATTCACCACTTTATTGAGTGTTTTAAAACTTTACTGGAGAATGACTAAGATAATTGACATAAATGACAAAATAACAATTTCGATAAAACCATCGGAAATTTTTTCGGGGAGAAGTCCTACTTTATGAAGGCTCATGTTTAATTGTAAGCTATTCAATGCCCGTATAATATAATAATGATGCTGATGAATACATAGATGAATATCTATATAGAAATGTTTACCCTTAAATGGACAATGTTGTTTTTAAACAACATACTAAACATCACAGATAAAATTATCTTTATTTTATTTTTTTGTTAATTTTGACAACTAGTTCTTATTTCTGAACGAATTTTGTACTTTTTTTAATGTTGGCACTATCCAATATTTTTATGCATTAAAAATAAATGAATGTCAAATGTCACTTTGAAGAAAACTTTTCTAGTGGCACGAAACTAAGTTTTGAAGCTGTGTTCGGACTTTGATAAAATATAATGTAAGTATATAACATATTTTTATTTGCTTGATTATATCTTCAATTACATGTTCATGTTGTAAAACATTGAAAATTACTTGATGCTACTGTCGAATTACGCGAAATCTGGTATGTTGTAGGAAAAATACAATGCGCATTGCCTGCTAAATAAATGCATGTTTGGTGAAGGGTTTTTATTTTGCTTTTCAGCATGCCGCGATTACTAGAAAGCGAAATTACAAAGTATTTAGAAACTCTTGAAGATTCAGAAGATGGCTTAGACGGCTCGGACTCCGAAGTAGAGGATGAAGGTCACTATTATCAAACAGCTCGAGATGTTCTTCAGTACCTTGAAAATAGTGATGAAGGTGAGAATGCCCAGTCTGATGAAGTGGATGCTGATCCTCCTCTCGTAATTGACAACGATCAAAATATGCCAGACCCTCCTATTTTGGAAGCCGGAGAAGCAGTACCCCAGAGTAGATCACAAGGGATTTCTAAGCGACCTCTGGTTTGGCGAAAACGGAATCTTGTTACTGCTGAAGACAGCCTTATTTTTAGGGGAGAAACTCAGATAACGGAAGCATTGATGTCTTGTAACACGCCGTATGATTTTTTTTCATTTTATTTTACATCAGATCTAAAAAAGCAAATTGTAGAACAAAGTAACTTATACGCGGCCCAAAAACAAATATCCAATCCTGAAATTATAAATGAAAATATCCTAAATAAATTCCTAGGCATTCTGATTTACACCTCAGTCATAAAATTTCCAAACACCAGGGCTTACTGGAGTGATAAATTTGGTTATGATCACATAAAAAATACGATGCCGTTAAAAAAATTTGAAAAAAATAAGATCCACTCTCCATTTTGCCGACAATACGCTATGCTTACCCAAAGATCATCCAGACTATGACAGGCTATTCAAAATAAGACCTCTTGAGGAAATGCTCAACTGCCAGTTTGGAAAGGTTCCCTTAGACCAAAGGCTTTCCATAGACGAGCAGATGTGTGCAACCAAAATGAGCCATTACATAAAACAATACATGCCCAATAAACCCCACAAGTGGGGGTTCAAATTATATCTCATCTGCAGTCTACAAGGATATGCTCATAGATTTGAGGTTTACAGTGGAGGGGGCTCCAAAAATAACATCTTACCTGGTGAGCCAGATTTGGGAGAGTCTGGAAATACAGTCGTCAGGTTAGCTAGAATGGTACCACGCAATGTGAATCACATTATATACTTCGACAACTTCTATACTTCTGTGCCTCTCGTCACCTATTTAGCTAAGGAAGGAATTTTCTCACTGGGAACAGTAAGAGTAAACCGATTGAGAAACTGCAAATTGCCTGACAAAAACACTATAATGAAAAAGAACGTACCCAGAGGATTCTATGAGGAAAACGTGGCGACTGTGGATGATATTGACGTAAGTGCTGTTGTGTGGAAAGATAACAAGCCCGTTAACCTTCTTTCCACTTACGTAGGAGCAGAACCAGCAACCACAGTCACGCGCTTTGATAAATCGAAGAAAGAGAGAGTTGCTATTCCATGCCCCAAAGTCATCAAGGAGTACAATGCTCACATGGGGGGCGTGGACGTTATTAGATTCATTTATAGGTCGTTATCACATCACAATGAAGAGCCGCAAGTGGACCATGCGCTTATTTTATCATTTCCTGGACCTCGCAGTTATAAATTCATGGGTTATGTTCAAGAAGGTAAATAATATAAAAGGAAATGATCAACTTCTCAATTTGGGTACATTTAGACTAGAACTTGCCGAAACCCTCTGCAAATTGGGTCTACCTGCAAATGGCGCTAAACGTGGTCGACCTAGTGGGAGCACAATACAAAGAGAACTTGTAATGAAGAAGTTCCGAGGACCAGCTCAAGCAATTCCTTTGAAAGACGTCAGATTGGATCAGACATGTCATTGGGCAGTTTGGCTGGATAAGCAGCAGAGGTGCAAATTCCCGAAATGTTCAGGATTTACGTTCAAAATGTGCCAAAAATGTCGTGTATCTTTATGTGATACGAAAAAAAGCAATTGTTTTTATAAATATCATAATTTAGAATAAATAAACACATTTCAAAAACAATATCCACTCTTATTTTACCCATACTTGCAAAATGTCATTGAATGCGCAATGTAGTTTATAAACAACACTCACATTATTGCAAAAAAAAATAGTAAATTCATGTCTAGATTTTTTACTCATTTTTCCTAGACAGTAATACATGTCTATTATACAAATATATTTTTTTAAAACGTAAAAAAAATCGTCCATTTAAGGGTTAATGCTTATAATCGTTCTACAACATATACGATTTCTTAGATGATAAAAGCACGTGGCAGCGATTATGAGTGCATCAGGCTGATGCGGAATACCAGCGTAAAATAGCAGCAATGTTCTTGTGCTTTGTATGATATTTTACAGTATCTTAAGGGAGTTTCATGGTCAAGAATACATGTAGTTGTATATACGCCGCAGCAACCACATATCACACCAGAAGCAACGAGAAAACAGAACTTGAACCACATAAAGTATGGGATACCAACGTGAGTTCGAATCCACTACCATATTTAATCGATCCAGCCGCATTTCAACTGAGCGTAGTAATACGAGTACCACGCCCGTGAGGGAGCACAGTAAATGGTGACTCATGCGAGAAAGATCTTTTATTTTTCAATGAATGGTTGAATAGCCGTCTGTTATGTCCGATCTAAAATTATCTAAATCAATGGTGATGGAAAGTAATGTCAAGTATGCAATAATACTAGTAACTCAAGGCTTGACGTGACGTGAGAGAAAGAGTGACTGCCTGGTTAGAAAGTGCAGGTTGCCGATGAATGAAAGGCCGTGCTTTGTGGCATTCATAGGAGACCAGTAACAGTGAACTTGTGAGGGGCTGTAATGATGACGATGATGAAAGGCCCATTTCCCATAAGCGTCTGACGGAATGGTAAGATTGAGAATAGATCTTCATAAAATCTTTAATGTTTTAATAATAATTTAATGTTCCTCGGAAAATACTTACGTTGTGAATAATTAAGTTACATTTTTACTTTAATTTGCAAATTTTGCCTAGTCCACTTTAGTTCATTAACGAATGTTTACACATTAGCGCACTTTCAGTAATGTCCGTAGCTAATTGATCAGAGTTATTCATTAGTATATTCAAACAGTTTAAACGGAGGCGATCGGAATGATAACCCTGAATTTTTTTGAATGTCGATAATTATTATCAGAGCAGATTTAGTCATTAAGGCTATAAATATCCATTGAAATGATATGGATAATAAATTAATAGGTTTGATATAAACTTAAATCTCACAGCTATTCATAGATATTTTAGTTTAATTCCATGCTGAAGAGCCGCAGCTATTGCTTGTCTGGCCATTAGTAATGATACTATTTAAAAAGCATTTCTTCCTTTTTACTAAATTAAAATTTGAAATGTGTTTATATGAGAAACTTAAATCGACTTTCTGACATTTCAGGTAAGTAATATTTTTCGCCGTGTTTATTAACCAGAATTGATAGCTTTGCAAAAATGGTTATGGAGCCGACAGTCATTTTAAGACGCTTTATGCGCTTAGCGTCAGCCGTATGTTTGAATATTGCACTATCGATTACACACAGTACGTCAACAATTTCTAGCTCGGGGCTTCCGTGTTGTTGATTTTACACGGGCTGTGAATGCAGTAAAAGTAAGTCAGTAGTAAGTCACAATAATCAAGATGCGTGCTGAAGCATCATTTTTATAATAAAAGAGTTTAGAGTTTTGAATTTTACATAAAACTTATTGAAGTTTATCATAAGACACTCTTGATATAGAGTAAACCCACTCACTGATACACTTTTCATAAATGTACCGTAAACTATCCAACAAGACTCACTATCTGGACAAAAATCACAAAAACCCAAATCTGGCACGAGAACTTTGTTCCGGATTTATTATCGCTGTCCCTAGTACAATTCAGATCTATATATATTTTTTTTGGTGTATTCATTGTATTTAGTACCAGATAAAATGGCCTTGAAAATGGCATTGATTCTCAAATAATCAAGTTAGCAGTCTGAATTACTAATAAAGATAATTCGCAAATCCATAGCTTATTCATGACCAGAGATTAAAAGTCTGTATCGAAGCCAAAGGCAAATTTTAAATAAAATTGTGTTCAATTAATCCCTAACACTTAGATAAATATATAATATGTTCTTCCATCCAACTGCAGAGAGGTGTAAGACAGGGTGACGTAATATTGCCAAAACTCTTCACCACAGCATTGGAAGACGTTTTCAAGCTACTGGACTGGAAAGGATACGGTATTAACGTCAATTGCGAGTACATCACTCACCTTCGATTTGCCGACGATATAGTCCTTATGGCAGAATCATTGGAGGACGTAAGCACTGTGCTCAATGACCAATAGTGTCTGCCAATGGATAGGTCTTAAGATGAACATGGACAAAACAAAAGTCATGTGTAATGTCCATGTCACACCTATACCGTTGGGAGCACTAAGCTCGAAATTGTTGACGAGTATGGCGGTTGGCCTGAGACAAGTAGTCCGACTAGGTAAGTCCAACTTCGACCGAGAGGTCAATTAACGGATTCAACTCGGCTGAGCAGCGTTCGGGAAGTTACAACGCATCTTCTCGTCAGGTATACCTCAAAACCTAAAAACTAGATTGTACAACCAGTGTGTGTTGCCAGTAATGACCTATGGATCTGAGACGGTGGTCCTTCACTGCCGACCGTACGAGGAAGCTCAAAATTGCTCAGTGAGCTATGGAGAGGGCTATGCTCGGAGTATCTCTGCGTAATGAACTTAGGAATGAGGATTTCCGCAGTAAAACCAGAGTAATCGACATAGCCTAACTGATTAGTAAGCGGAGGTGGCAATGGATGCAGATGGCTCAGGACTGTGCTTTGTGGCATTCCTTGGGGGAGGCCTATGTTCATCAGTGAAATTGTGAAGGGTCGTAATGATGATGATGATTCATTTTAAATTTAAACAGAACAGCTATAATAGTGTTTGTTTCTTTTTTTACGAAAATGAAGTGAAAGGATTGCACAAATTGATTTGTATGTATTGACCTGATTAATAGAATAAAATATTTTAAGTCAATGGAGATAGATAGATATCATCAATTCTAGATTATCATTAATTCTCATTAAAATTCCTCTTTTTCTTTAACCACTCGCTCGTGATAAACCTCTGTCCTGGGAAAACCCAGTAAGAAACCCCGCGAGATTTTTTCTTCAAACTTTCGTTATACAACAATAAAAAACCGGCCAAGAACGTGTCGGGCCACGCTCAGTGTAGGCTTCCGTAGTTTCCAGTCCGTCACAATAAATGTTCCAACTTATGAGTTTAAAGGTCGGGATCCATTATGTTTGCGCTCCAGGAGCGCTCCGCGCTCCTGCAACTGCTCCCGGTAGTGGGTACGTGCGCGAACATGGAGCGTGCAACATTGCACGCTCCGTGGCAGGCGCTCCGACTTTCCATCCAAGTTCAAAATGATTTTCCTAGAAAGTCCTTATAAAGTTCTACTTTTCAGATTTTTTTCATATTTTCTAAACTTATGGTTCAAAAGTTAGAGGGGGGGGACACATTGTTTTTTACTTTTGGAGCGATTATTTCCGAAATTATTGACACTATCAAAAAATGATCTTAGTAAACCCCTATTCATTTTTAAATACCTTTCCAACAATATATCACACGTTAGGGTTGAAATTAAAAAAAAAATCTCTTCCCACTTTACATATAGGGGGGGGCTACCCTAATAAAACATTTTTTTCCAATTTTTATTTTACCACTTTGTCGGCGTGATTTATACACATATTGGTACCAAATTTCAGCTTTCTATTGCTAACGGTCACAGAGATTAAGCGAGGACGGACAGACGGACAGACAGACATGGCGAAACTATAAGGGTTCCTAGTTGACTACGGAACCCTAAAAAAGGGTTCTACAATTACTGACAACCAATTTAAGAAACAACTTGGATGCAATCATCCCATTCCCAGCGGTTATTATCAACTACCTACTTATTTATATTATTATCCTTTTTGTAACTCTCGCCAATATACCCTATATTGCCGTAGTTGCCACGCGTGGTGAGCGAGCTGTCAACCGCAGTTTTTTATTGTTATTTTTCTGTTATCAGAAAGATGCTATTTCCCCTCTTTTTCCTTAGTTTACCATCTCGTAAAACATTCAGCAAAACGATGGATGCAGATGGTGATCTGGTAAGACATGCAGGAAGTCGGTGGGTGCAGGGGGCACCGTGCTTTGTGGCATTTTTTGGAAGAGGCCTATGTTTAGCAGCAGACTTGTGAAGGGCTGTAATGATGATGATGAAGATAACCCTTTTTAAAGTGATTGTTTAATATATAATTAAACTTGTTTATTTTCAGGGACTTTGTTGTATATACTTTGTTCCATGAATGAATTACTGTCTCTGTCGAAACGAATTACTAGTAAGTAGTAAGACTAGTAGTACTAGTAAGAGTAACAGTATTTTCTGGTGTTTGCAGAGTCTATATTATTTCCTTTTTTAATTGAACTAACCTGTACTTATACTGGGTATACCCTTCAGATCGGAACACAGTAGGGCAGATACTGATATTTGGTAACAGAAACAAATAGGTGAATTGGCGGCAGTAACAGACTACCTAGATGGATTTCTAGACAGAAAAGTATTCTTAGCACCTAGTAAAAGGATTCTCTGTGCAGGATCTAAACATAGGAAATAATTTTTCGCAAAGAAATTATTTATTACTTCAAATAACCATACCTGTAGTGACAAGTTGTCATATGGTGGCGGCCTGAAAGCAGACATCACCATTCTATTACGCCACGTGAATGTCGTAAGCGGCAACTATCGGAAATACCAGAAAATGTCGTGTCTTCTATAGTGTTATAACCATATCGATAATGTCAATTGTAAAATATTCAGACCGGTGACAGGAAGTAGCGTGACAGATGGAAGACGTCTGATGCTGCGAACGCCATTCCACTTACCAAGCGTGGTTATTAAGGCAAATCATTCCTACAATAGATACTGAGAAAGGGAGTCGTATTAGGGGCACACTCACCATGAATTTTACAAACACGTGCATTTTATTTGTAGCTTAGGGAAACTGTGTAATCAAAACAGATATGTAAGAAGAATACATAAAAGAGCTTTATCGATTTTACTGTACATAAAATGTTTAAGGTTCTAAAGCGAGGTAGCGGCCACTTATCAGATGCTAAAAGAAATCAATTCGGTTTCTGTATAAATATTTAATCAAGTATATTGAGTAAGGATTATACGATGCCATTAATTTTATCACATACTAAAGGAAAGTCGGAGAATAATAAAGTATCGTCAGTCAAAGAACAGGGTGCACCGCGGGTAAATGAGTTTGGCTCCGCTCCAGAGGTAGTTGTGGAACAAGAATACATTGAATACAAACCACAGTAGCAACGTCTTTTGATTTTGACTGAATAAATTGAAAATATCGTAATTACGGTGTAAAACAAAAACTGTGACTGTTTCTGCCCTTGCATAACTCAATCAATCCAGACGCACACCGCAAACCAGCGCTAATGATCTTTCGTTTCTTAAGTTTCTTAAATTGATAACTATGTTTGTAATTATAATTTTTTTCAGTTGTTCGAGTAAGCGTGACAAATAAGCTCTGCCTGTGCTCTATTAACCTATTTTATAACTTTTTGATAGGAAACACACATTTTATATTTAAAGATATAAGCGTATAGTCTTGTGTAGTATCCAATAGTTTTAATAAACACAATTAGCAAGTTAATGATCTCTTATTATATTATGTACACATAAAATAATAATATCCCTTTTTTATTTTATTACTACAATAATGTTTAAAAAATAAACACAAAACTGGATATTGTTATGATATGTTTATATCTAATACTGTAGCTTGAGAAGATAAAAAATGTGGTACTCGTCAACGAAGTCTACATTTGTTAGTGCGTAGCGTGTATAACATAGCCTCAGCTTTTTCAAAAAAAAAAATTATATGTAATAATATTACGTATATACGTAAAATACTTATTAAAAATTAAAAAAGCCACATTATTTAATTATAGTTTCGAATAACACTGGTAAAATACGAGCAATAGATTGATATTGCAGAATAAGTTGTAAGTATAACATTTTTAAACAGAAAAAAGAAATTTAAGCGTCAAATAATGCATGTCAGAAACGGTTATACGCTTTAATGGTGTTATTTAATTATTAACTGAAATTAAAGATACAGCATTGCGACTGTCACAATGAAAAATCACATTATTTGATTTTAATTTCGCCGACACTAATTATTCATTTGAGCTAATAGGCTTGCAGTAAAGTATAGCCATCAAAAACATAACTTGTAATAAAAACCAAGTCTCGCAATTCAGTTCTTCTACCGTAAAAAATTTTGAGATCCATGTAATACCAAGTCGGTTAATTTATTCAGTCCCTACTTAAGGATCCTTCTGTTTTAAGTTATTACGTAATTAGCTAACCTAACAACACTTTATAATGACCATATCAATGTAAAAAATCTTTTACGTTTTAAATATATAGATTGACTAGGCCATCGCATGAAAACACAACGTATCTCACAATAATTTGTACAAGTTTAAGGGGTAATCTGTGCAAGTAATACATATTATATTAAATTAGATTGCTTAGTGCGATGGCCAAGTCAATCTATATATTTAAAAAATAAAAGATTTTTAACATTGATATGGTCACTATAAAATGTTGTTAGGTTAGCTAATTACGTAATAACTTAAAACAGAAGGATCCTTAAGTAGGGACTGAATAAATTAACCGACTTGGTATTACATGGATCTCACAACTTTTTACGGTAGAAGAACTGAGTTGCGAGACTTGGTTTTTTTTACAAGTTATGTTTTTGATGGCATCTCATTTCTTTTTGTAGGTAAGATAGTCCTTTTTTTACCCTTCCGGTACCTTCTATTTGTTGAATACCAAAAACATACCTATCTACAACTATTATACATATACAAGTACACTGATTCATTTACTGCAAATGTAACTTTGTAATTCTATATATTTATATAGGATTACAAAGTTATTTATGCAGTTGGTGTATCTAGAAAACTGGACCGAAATTAAAAAATATTTTAGTTTTTCCTTGATCTATATACTAAACACTAATTGCATTCTAAATTTGAAGCTTCTATGTCTGCTAGAAGTGTCTTAGAGTTTTGATGATCGGTCAGTCAGTGAGTGACAAAATTAAGAAATTTTGACTAGTTATAATTCTTAAACTACTGGTTCAAATTAGATGAAATTTGAAACATACCATGTTTATATAATCCTTACTTGGTTACTGAAAATCAGGCTTCTAGTTTAATGCACTACGAAGTTATAGGGGGTCTAAAATGGCCTGAATTGCTTCGAGAAAAGTATTAGTACGGCCGTGCCGCCTTTTTGCTCGACTTGGCGGGGGCACTGCCGTGCCCCCAGATAAATAAAATTGAAACGGCTTGGAAACATTATTAAAATAGTTCAATTATTTAACTTTCTGTTACACCATTAGAGGCCTATTAAAGTACAAAGCTAAACATAAGTCTACCCCGCGGATTGCATCATAGGGGCGATATTTGCCATAGTTGCCACGATTGGCAAGCGGCTCGTCAACCGCATTTTTTTAGTTTTACATTGTAAAGATGCTGCTGACCATCTCCTAATTTTTTCCCCTCATTCGCTTCCTACGATACTCACGGGATATATGGGGTAGTGAATATTCTATCAACGCCACTACACGGTAACAATTTGTCTTATGGACAAATCGATCTTACAATTGAAAAATCAGCCCTTACAATCACAGAAATCGTAATGATTGTCTTATTATTACGATTTCTGTGCTTACAATATATAATATTGACAATAAATATTTTAGGTGTTCTGGTCATACCATATCACCTGAAAACTATCAGTTTGAGATACAATTCCAAAAAATGGCTTTTTGGTTGTGTGCAATCGATTTTCTTGTATAATTAACAGTCATTAAAATAACAAATGTGTAATTTTTTTAAAACTAATCCCTAATCTATTTTCGCAATTAAAACGAATCTTAAAAAATGGTCTTTTACTGCGATGGACAAGCAGCATGACCAACGTGTAGATTTTTTTTGTAAGTGGATGCTGTGGGTCCATAGTAATCTGTAACTGTCTACAATTGCAGATGCGTTATCACGCCTGAAGACCAAGTCGGAATGCCTCGTTTCCAGTAAAAAGATTTTCAGTTCACCTGACGATAAGTGGATACTGTGTCCCATAGATATCTACCGCTATCGTCAATTAAGAATGAAATTTTGGATATGTTGTCACCCCTGAGGACTAAGTGGAATGCCTCAATTCCAGTAAAAAGGGTATCCGGTTCTCCACACTCACCATGCGAGACACGACAGCATTAATTAATAATTTACCTAGTGAGTCATGCTTTGGTAGATTATCTTAATGGTTGTAATATTACTTGTTTGATTTATAGGGTGTAGATTATCTTATGGTTTATTTATTGATTTTATTCCTCAAGCTGCTATTTTACCCTAGAATCATGTAAGAACCTGGTCCTTTCCCGGGCGAGCCGACATATTCGTGCCAGAACCACAACATAGCTGCAGCATGGCTCTACCACGTGTATGACAAATCCTTCCTACAATGTATAGGGACCATGTACAGCATTTTTTTTGCTTTTTATTACTTTATTTTACATCATTTGAGCTAAGCGGCCCAACGCTGAAGTAAAAGAACATAATATATCTTATGCTTAAAGATATGAAATGCAATATTGATTTGCTATATTTGACTTTGCATTGTAGTAATTTAATTTTATCGTTATTAGCTAAGTATTATAATGTTAATACGACCGAATTCATTAAATCAAAATTGCAAATTTGTGCATTGGCCGCTTTGGTTCATTAGCGACTAGTGTTTACGCATTAGTAACATTAAATTATCCTTACCACCTAACTATTATTATGTTGAATAAAATGCTAACTACATTAAGTTAAGGAACTAGTCATGTATTTCTATATTTGTTTTATTGGCAGAGCTGCTCTAACTTCTTGACTGTTTCGTAAGATAGCTCGAAATAGACCTCTCAAAGTTTGGGAAGGTCTAAGACGCCATAATCTTTCGTTACTCTTGAAATTTTAGGGCCACTGTGATATCAGCCAGTGCTTGACTAAAATCCCATCTAAGTGGCGATGAAGCCCTAAAATCAAAAATCTCGTGTCAAGCGTCTATACATATACGAGTAAATTTTGTAATGAAGTAAACTGATAGCTTAGCTTTAATTTAAAGTTAATTTTATTATTTTTAGAGTATTGTTTGAAAAACGTTTTTTTAGTATTTATTTATTTTTAACTTATAAATTGACATGTTTCTAAGTCTGTTAATTTCATGCAATGTGGCATTGTTCGTTTTTGATCGCCATCTTATATCCGCCATCTTGTTTTTTTATTGCCAGCAATTGACCCTACAACTTTCGAGCACCTTCAAACTATCTCTAACCTTTTCCGAACTATAACTATTTAAAATAATATAGCAGCCATTTTGATTCCCGCCATTTTGAAGTTTTTTCTCCAGCGCAAGAATTTGCCTAGAGTATAGGTCGATATTAGGTAAGACACGATCCGCTTATTCTTACCGTTTAGCCGGGCAGTAGTACGCCATCTCCTCCAAGAGTTGAACACGGAAGTTATTTTACTCTTACCCTTCTCAGCAAATCCTTTCATTTGATATACATATCGTAAGAGTGCATAAAAAACCGTAGACCACCATCGTTGGGAGTCCACCATATTGGATTTAGGGTGACGTCATTTTATTTTCGTATTCTTTTCAGCAAACCCTTATATATACCAATATCGTGGGACTGTATAGAAAATAAGTAGCCCGCCATATTGGATTTAGCGTGACGTCACTTAGTTAACCATGCATTGTCATCCAAACTAAATATGTATGCAAAATGTCAGCTCAATCGGTTGAGAATAACTTTCTGATTTAAAATTCAGTTGCAAGATTCTTAATAACTTCCCTGTTCGCGAAAAAGACACAATAGTAAAACAATCGAAACGTTCATATGGGTCACGGGACAGTGAAATGGTTAGGGTTATAGAGAGCTTATATATTTACAGGCTTTAAGGCATTCCATCTTAATCTTTTGTCTTTGCCTATGGCCCACAACATCCATTTACTATAAAATTTCCATTTAAAATAAAAATTGTTGATTTGAGTAAGGGTAATGGTGACACACTAGATACAATAATGATAATATACCAAACACCGAATTTCGGGCTCAAATAAAAACTTTTAAAACGTAACTCCAACTCGGTATGATTTTGTACTGTACCGTCAAGACATTATTTATACATAAATTGCATATTGCTTACAAACACTGTTACGCGCAGGATTTAAACTCGCGGCTC